AAAATCAACACTTATTCCGAAAAAAAGTAAAATAATTCCGGAAAAATAAATATTTGGGGGTTATTTTTCCGGAATTTTTTACTTTTTTTGGAATAAGTGTTAATTTTATATTTTAATAAAAATTTTCGAAAAAATATTTTTTCCGAAAAAATAAATTTGCCATGCTGGATTGCTTAGGTGGATGGCCATGTAAGCAAATCTAACCCAGTTGGACTGTCATGCCACCTTCAATGGCAAGACTAACGGTTTAAGGGCATTTGTGGTCCAAAACATAGACGACAGGAATATTTTTGGTACCAAAAACAAACGGATGGCATTTTTGAGCTATTTTAAATAGTTTAAGGACATTTTTGGCCCTTTTTCCGTAAAAAAAAAAAAAAAAACAGAGACAAAGAAAACATTTGTGGTCATTTAGCTTCCTGAAAAAAAAGGTGTAAATTGATATTCATTCCATGAAAATTATACTCCTGTTTAGATAGGTAAAAATTATTTTTATGTATATATACTATGTATCAGAGCAATGATAAAGTTGTCTTCGTGTGACCTATAGGTCACGGGTTCGAGCCGTGGAAGTAGTCACTAATGCTTGCATTAGGATAAGCTGTCTAAACCACACCCCTAAGGTGCGACCCGTCCCCGAATCCTGCGTAAATATCGAATGTTTTGTGCACCTAGATACTTTATGTACTACGTATTATTTCCCTTTAATTTTTTTTTATATATTTACTTCTTTAAATTTTAACACCCTTTAATAAAAATTATAGATTCGCTTAATATACGAGCACAAAGAATAATGTATAGTGCTGAATTTTGCATCAAGACAAAAATTTAACACGTGTATCATAGAACTAAATAAAAGTAATTCTAAGTTATGGAATCTATAATTAGTGGTACATTGGAACATATAATAACACCAAAAACTACCGAACAAAGAAGAAAAATAAAAAAGAAAATTGGAGAGGGAAAAAAACCTGAAAAGTCACAGAAGAAATTGCCTCTTTTCTGGTAAAAGAAGTAGTGGTATTAGGCACCGACGAATGTAGCATACAAGCCAAAGATTCCCACATATTCAAACTCAATGAATCACCCACAAACATAATTTTCTTCCCTAACCATCTTTTCAAGAAATCCTTCCCATCAAATCTGCAAAAATTTTAAATAAAAAGTAAGAAAACAAAAGCTATAGGGACACCAATATCTATCAATATCTTGGAAAGGGCAAAAACAAATATATATAGTTTAGATGATAAAGAAAAAAGTATCTTTTTTCAAAAAAAAACAAATTGTTGTTTCCTATTTCGGGAGTTAATTAAACTTGTGTATACCGACATTGATAGTACCTAAAAGGTTAGATAACCATTCATAACAAGCAAGAATACCAAGTTGAAAAGAAAAAAAAAGATAGTAAGTTATAGCCTGAATTTGAACCTGTGATTTAAAGCAACTTTTGAAGAGTCTTTATCACAATACTAAAATAATTCTTTTATTAAGCTGGTTGAACAATTTATATATAGCACAAAAATTACTTTTACATATAGTTTTTCCATAAAAGAGATTCAATTGAACTACCTTTACTCTCAACTAGCTTCACCTCTAACTATAACATGTTAACGTATCCTCCCTCCGTTTCACAAAGAATGAACTTATTTGACTATTTAGTGAGATCCAGAATTTAAATTCTATGAGTTCAACTTTTAAGATTCTTAACATTGAACTCGTTGTATTTCCAAACTTATGGTTCATATATACTATTTGTTGCGACTTTTTAGTGAAATTTTATACATAAATTTATTATCCGCGTCGAAAATACTGGGTTTAGATGAAACCGATACTAATATGTTACATCCGTAAGAAGCGGAGCCAGGATTTAGAGTTACTAGGTTCGGTATTCTAGTTTTTAAGTTACTGGGTTCTAAATTAACAATTTGTACATATTTAACGAATTTCTTAAAATAAATACAGAGTTTGAACTAAAGTTATGGGGTTCAGCCGAACCCGTAACATGTATACTAGCTCCGCCCCTGGCATCCGTCTCTGTTTGATTGAGCAATAAAGTTTAAGAAAAATAGAAAACTTTTGAAATTTATGTTCTAAAATAATCCATAGATATTTTGTGTAGTTATATATTATCTCACTAGGGTAAAATGAGAACTTTAAAATTAGTATATTGTTTCTAAATTTAGAAAAGATTCAGTTGTCCTTTTTAAACGGACTAAAAGAAAATAATTAAATCCTTTTTGGGTTACCTGGGTAAATTGCAAGAATCAGGTTTCCAAGCATATTTGAGGTATTCTTTATCAGGGCGTCCATATTTTTGGCAATCAAATTCTGGGTCAATGAAAGGGCAATTGGAAGATTGGTAAAGAGGAAATGAAGTGTCAATTACCCATTTTCCTTGAAATAAATTGCAGTTGCTACTACTCATTTTTCCTCTGCTACTAACATTCTTTAACACAAGCTCAGCTTTAGCAGTTTCTGCTTGTAAGAAGAGAGAAATACTAATAACTAAAGCTATTGATTGAAGAAGCAGACTTGACATGACTTAGTTTCAAAATTTTCTGTTTGGGTTTTGGGTTTTTTTTTGGTACAGACAATGTAGAGAGAGAGATGAGTATAAAAAAGAAAGTTGGCTTCATATTTATAGTAGGTCTATGTAAGTATATACGACCAAACATCTCTATAACATCATCGTTTGTTTCGAAATTGTTTGGTTGTTATAATGAAGTATTGTATAGAGAACATATATCATATAACATGAAAAATTGGTTCCAAAAAAAAAACTTGACCATCACAATAAAATGTTGTTATAAAAGATATCTATTATAGAGGGGTCTGTATATAAAACAAAAAACCAAACACAAAACGAAATGCTATTAATTTCTTTCCTTTATTTTTTGAGTGTGGGGAAAGACTTACTCCGTTGTTTATACCAAATTGTATAATTATTAAGTGAAACAAATAATATTAATTACTATGGTAAGTGATTTAATGAACTGAAAATATATAAGTATTAATTATGATAAAGCAAAGAAGTCTATCTAATTTCATTTCATGTCCATCCATCATTTTTCAAGTACTAGCTTAGATTAGTTTCAAGTGTACATCCATATATACCTTTAATGGCTAAGATTTGTTCTTTAATATTTTCATTAATAATAAAATATTTTAAAAATAGAAAAGAAAGATCTGGTGGTTTTTGTTTTTTCTACTAATATATACTTTTATCAAATTTTTAATTCAATTAAACTTTAATTTTTGTTTTCTATTTCTTTATACAATACATGGGTGCAACTTCCTCTATTGGTCTTTCAACTAGAGTCAATTTTTACTTTATACTTCTTAATTCAATACATGAATTTCAAGCTATATACTAATATGGAATATTCACTCTAGTTGAAAAACCAATGGAGGAAGTTGCATCCATCTAAGAACTCTTGAAATTAAAAGAAGAAAAAAAACTATCTATTCTTGTTTTCTTTTTCATCATTTTCTTTTTTCGGTTTGATTTACTCTATATTATCTTTCTTGAAATATTAAGATAAAATAAACATTTGCAAGTTGAAATAACAGGGAGGGAGAGAGATGGACAATAGTCCTAACATAGTATACTAAATTTTCAACATAATATTCCTTGTTAATCCCAAGAGGGCCAAGACATAATTATTAAGTAGAAAAGGAATTAATCACTTTACAATCTTTGCTAAGCAAGTTGCCGGTGATTACGGCACCTATAAAATTTCTATGTATTTGCTTTAGAGATAAGCTTATTTCCTCTACACTTTGAGTGTGAACAAAATTTTAAAAAAGATTAACAAACTTTTGAAACTTGGTCTACAAATCGTAGCTATACGTATAATTTTAAATCATCTCATTAAAAATAAACTGAAAAGTTTAAAGTTAAGTAATTTTTAATTTTTAAATATATAAATATATCTTTTTTAGAATACACTGACAAGAAAAGTGTATGACAAAAATTGAGACAATGGAAATAATCTGCAAGTGGAGTTGATTCTCTTTTCTTTTTTAATTTTTGAAAAAAGATTCAAATTTGTTTCTTTACTACTCAAAATTGCTCAATTTTGTCTTTAATAAGATATTTGGTCCATTAATATCGTATATTGCCTTGTAATTAATATAACTACGACATGAAAGGAATATATTATACGTGTCCAAAAATTCATCGAATAAAAAAGTTCAAAGTAACTCTATAATTTTGAATATGATTTACAATTAGCCTCAAGTTGTAATTATGCTGGAGGTCAAGGGCAAAACGGGGGGTTTTCCTAACAGCAGGGTAAAATTATATCAAAAGTATAACGAATGACAAAGCTATTCAATTTCGGATATTAAAGGGCAAATTTGCTCAATTTTTGTTTAATCAAAAAGTTATATAACAGTCAAGAGTCTATCAGACAATATCTCTACCTTACCCAAGACACCAGTAAGGCATGGGTGTAGCCATTGAAGGGTGTTTTGTTGAACACCCTTAATCGAAAAATTATACTGAGTATATAGAAAATTATACTATGTATATAGATCAAAAATTATACTATGTATGCAGATGAAAAATTATTTTAAAAAATATGTATTAAAATTTGAACATTCTTTGTAAAATTTCTAGCTCCGCCACTGAAGTAAGGTCTGTGTATATCGTATTCTTCCCAGACCCACTTATAAGATTACATTAAACCTTTTGTGATGACAGTACTTCGCACCAAGCAATCTCAATTTTAGAGAAATCTTCAACTATATGATAGCATTTCTTGAAAAATAGAACACAAGGAAAAAAAATCCTTAACCATTTAGGGAAGCAATATAATGCATGGTCATACATTGCTTGATAGATAAACGCAAGAAGAAAAAACAAAGATCAAATTATTGAGAAATGGAGAATTTCCAAGACTTCCACTCTTTCCAAATTGCAGAGTTTCAATCATAGATGATTTCAATCTTAGTGGTCTGTTACTATTTTACGTATTTTTTAGGTGGAGTTAATTACTCTTTAAACAACTAATTCATTTGTTTAATTTATTGACGAACGGGAAGCTTTGAAATAATGATAAAATTATCTCTGCGTGACCTATAATTTATAGGTCACGCATTCGAGCCGTGGAAACAATCACTAATATTTGTATTAGGATAGACTGTCTATACAATATCCCTTGGGGTACGACCCTTTCCCGCACCTTACGCAAATGCGAAATATCCTATGTACCCGACTTTTCTTTTTAATTTATTGATGAACGGAGGAGAATCTTATAAATCAATTCATTTCAATTACCAATCATACTGGCTAATAGAACATTCTATTTATCTTTTACTAAAATAAATACCCTTTGAAGATGATAGGATTGCTATTGACCTACAGTAGAAGAATACTAAACGCTTTGATAATAGGTAGTTAATTTCAAACAAGCTAGTTACTCCACTGACGTATAAAGTTTTACTTACTAAATTATTATATTATCAAATTAAACTTACTTTTGATATGTAGTTGCCATTACTTTATCTAATCGTATACGAGAATAATATACTGTCATTAGTGTATATATAAGTTAAACTCTTGTGTTTCCATTAAATATGTACTTTTAACTTAAAGGCCAATTAAGATTTTTTTTTTAAAAAATTACGAAAGGAAAAGGGAAATAGGAAACCACACTACTGATGGATTTCAAAATTCTGAAAAATATTAAATTTTAAAATTCATAATATTTAGAAATATAATGGGTTCTGTAGACACTGAAATTTTAGCAGATCAAGATAAATTCCAAAGTCAAAACAACTCTTGAAATATTAGGAGTCTATTAGGGTTACTGTAAGGCCCCGTAAAATTTCACCTAAAACTCGAGGTTCCGTGGTGGTGAGGTAGGCTAATTTATTTGGTTACGAACGTTTTGGGTCGAACAGTGCGCTAGGGAGTTAAAGAAAAATATTGGCAGAAAAAGACATTTTTGCGGCCTACTATGCGGTCGTGGAATCACTGTACAGGCTGCAGAATGGCCGCAAAGTGAAGCAGGAACTTGAGCAAAATTTGTAGGCCATTGTGCGGTCCATTATGCGGCCGCAGAATTGCTTTGCGGGCCGCAGATTGCATCGCAGGATCGACATGAGAAATTTCGGGAGGAGATTCTGCGGTGCGGACCACAGAACGGTCGCATACCCAGGCAGGGTTGGCCAGTTCCGGAAGGACATTTTGCTGCCCTTTTTGCGGACCGCGGAAGCATTATGTGGTCGCATATGCGACCGCATATTGGGTTCTGGAGCTTCATTTTTCTAGTTTTTATAACCTGACCCTATTCCATTATATAGACGCTATGGGATCATTTCTTGAGTAAAAAACTGGTATTTTGAGAGTGGGAGAGTGCTCTGGAGTGGGGGAGGGTTCCTCAAGAATTTATTCTTCAATTCTTGCTTAAATCTTGGAAGTTTAACAAGGGAAACTCACTAGGTCTTCATCCTAGAGGTAAGATTCTACACCCTAACTCTTAATTTCAAAATTCAACTAAAAATAGGTAATTAGAAAGGAAATTCTTGGGTGTGGAAGTTGTTCATTTTGCATGCATGTGTTATCAAGTGGTATAGGAAGATTGTTGAGCTAAAAATGATAGATAATGGATTTGTGGGATGATGGAATCTACCATAGGAGGACCTTGAAACCTTAATGCACACCTAGTGTTTGATAAAATGCTCAA